TTCAGGAATCTGTATTTTTAACAACTCCACCAGGTGATACTCATCATGAGAGAAGTTTGGGAAACACTGCTCCAGATGGTCCTCTGAGATCTTTGGGATGAACACACAGTAACTGCACTTCCAAAAGTATACTTTGCCCAAGAATTCAGTTGAGCAGGAGGAGCCTAATACCTTGGGTCAGTCAGGGTCCAATCAAGGAAAATAGGGTTCACCTGGAATATATAAATGCCATATTCTTATGCAAAGGATAGATGAAAACATGAAACAGGTAATGAAAGAGACAGAAGAAGCCATTTAGAGATAAGTGAGGCCAATAGATTTAGCAAGAGGAAAAAGTCATAACCAATCCCAGGCTGGAAGAACACAGGATGAGGGGGGAGGGACTTGGGTTACTTGGTGAGAACCAGAACCATGGCAGGCTTCAGTGCTGCCTGGATAGATACAGGAGGCAAATGAATGTACAGAGAAATGCCCTGGCTTCTTCCATGTTCCCAGGTTCAAGTCTTCTGCCACTGCCCCCACCCTAAAGTCCCCATTGGCAGAAGCCAACTATGAGCCAACTATGAGATAATACTCTAGGAAGGGAAGCCTTGGGCTCAGTCCTCCATCCTATGCATAAAGCCAAAGTGGGGTGGGGGGAGTGGGGAGAGATAAAGGGAGGGCGGGAAGGAGGAGAAGGGGAGAGGGAGGGCACAAAGAATGGATCCAAGGGCAGACTGGCCCAAGACCCAACTAGGAGAGTTGGGTTCTGGAACTCCCAGGACTATTGCTGAAAAAAGGAAGCCTGCATTCTAGAGACTGGGTTCTCAAAAGGTTGAGTCTAAGAAAAATATATTTTTAAACGTGTTTTCTCACTTTCTGGGCTTTGCTTGAGCAGGTCATAGCTAAATGGGAACATCTACACGCATACCCTCAAAATTAGTTTTAATTTTGTGAGAAACACTCATCAGAAATGACGATCTGATTTTTGTCTCTAAAAGAAATTGCATTTTAAGATCCTATTTTGTAAAACTTCTCCGACATGTAAGATTTTCTGTTTGTTGTGCTAGCGCATTCTACAAATCAGAAAATCCTTGAATTATCAAACAAAGACTTATTTGCCTAAATTACCATGCAGGCCTAACATGAAGAAGTGGGTTTGTTTTGAGTCTTTGTACATTTAGTGACCTGCGCTATTGTGATAAATGCCATTGCCTAAAACTATTCAGTAGAAAGCTTGGGCACCATCTGTGTTTGTTTCTGTAGGAGCAGTAACTGCCTAGAGAAAAATCTGATGCTCATTTCAAAGATGCAGTATAAACAAAATTCAAGATGATGCTTTAACATAATTATTCCACCTTTCATTTACATAGTACTTTATGCATCTCAGAGTGATCTGATGTGCTTCCATTTAACAGTTCTTCACAGAACTTGTGGAAGTTGGGTATGGGCTTCGGAAAGATATAAAAGCTCAACAAGGAACAAAAACTGAAATTAGGGGTCTTTTAGGAGAACGCTGTAAGAAACCATGTAGTCTCATCTCCCATCGATATTAATAGAAAAGACTTATTGAGCACCTTCTTTATGTGGAAGTTGGGTATGGGCTTTCCAAAGCCCATACCCAACTTCCACAAGTTCTGTGAAGAACTGTTAAATGGAAGCACATCAGATCACTCTGAGATGCATAAAGTACTATGTAAATGAAAGGTGGAATAATTATGTTAAAGCATCATCTTGAATTTTGTTTATACTGCATCTTTGAAATGAGCATCAGATTTTTCTCTAGGCAGATTTTTCTCCAGGCACTTTTTAGAGTATTACATATATGTTAACTCATTTAATCCTCAGAACATTTCTACAAAGTAGATAGTATTGTGTTATCATTTTAAGGATAGAGAGACTTAGGCAAAGGAAGGATAAGTCACAATCAATAAGATATGAGCCTTAACAATCTAAAAAAATACTGTCTCAAGCAGTGTCTTTTTTAAATATGTATCCAGAAAACAAAGCAACAAACTTAATCACAGAGACATTTATTTTATATTGAGTGTCTTCTAACATGTGCATGTAACTCAGTGGTGTGCTGGTAAACTGGCTCACTCGCTCTCTAAAAATAAATAAATAAACCCTGATTGTTTATGCCAATTTACATATTAGAATCCTAACCTAATGCCCAGTGGGATGGTGTTAGATGAGGGAGCCTTTGGGAGGTGATTAGGTTATGAAGGTGGTGTCCTCTGGAATGGGGTTCATGTTCTTTTAAAAGAGATCCCACAAAGCTCCCTAGCTACTTCAGCCATATGAGGATACAAGGAGAAGTCTGCAGCCTGGAAAAAGGCCCTCATTTGACCATGCTGGCAGCCTGATCTCAGACTTCCAGACTCCAGAGCTATGAGAAATAAATGTATGATGTTTATAAGATACCCAGCCTGTGGCATCCTATATAATAAAGAGCTAATATACTAATTAGACCAGATGGCAGAACGACCTTTTGGAATGACCTTCTGGAATGATCAGTGGGGGGGTAGGGCTGCAAGGCAACAGGGGCTATGAGGGCCTACTTTTGCATGAACTTCGTGCATCGGGCCTCTAGTTTTGTTATAACACATCAGACAGACTAAGACATAGCATTTGCCAATTTCCATGATATAAGTACTCACAGCAGCATGCACTTCAAGTGAAGCCACTGAATGGCTTGTTGAGAAGAAATGTGCATGTCAGCATCTAGTGATCTTGCGAGCTTGTGGCTCTAGCACATCCCGGGCTGGTTAAATTACTGTTGTACTCAAGGTGACGTGTATGCCAAGGAGGCGATGATCTGCCCTTGAAATGTTCTTCAAATGTGAATTCATTTTATTTTCAGCTGTTTTATAAACTCAATGTGAATTAAACTGTTTTAGATATGTTCATGTATAATCACTGCTTATAAAGAATAATGTAATCATGTCTATTTTTGGTATGTTTTTACTGATGATAATCAGGCTTGTCTGGGATGAGGTAATCACGCACCAGCTGGAGAGGGGAGAGGACAAAGGGGAGGCTGAAAAGTGTAACCATTTGTATGAGGGCCAGTAGATACAAGCCTTGAGACAGGTACCAGACATTTTCCAAACCATCATTTCTTAGGTCATTCTGCAGCCCATAGGGTTACTAAGATTGCAGTTGGCAATTTGGAAGGCTTGGGTTCTAGTCTAAATAAGAATTTCATGTGTCTCCTACAGAGTATGGTCACCTCAAGAGTTCACTCATTAGTCCTTTAGGGAGGAGTGGCCACTTGTGTAAACCTCACTAGCCAAACAGTGTCAACCAAACCAGACACAATAGGAAGGGCCAGGGGGGATTTCCCTTGAGTGGCACCGAGGCTGAGGTCAGGCAACCAGTACACTGGCAGTGGCTTTTGCCCAAGGTCCCTCTTCTGTATCCTCCCTGTTCTTTCCCTATGATCAACAGAGTATTTTTCTTTATTCTTAAAGCTGCATCACCACTAAAAACGCTTTACAAATGCATGTCCAGAGCCACTCACTAAAGGATGCCTTCCTCCTTTTTCCTCCAAAACACATAGATGAATAGTACAATCAAAGCTTTCTGTCATCAGCTCAGCATACTCTTTTTTTTTTTTCCCATCTGTATTTTGTTTTCCTTCCATTCTTTGTTCTTCCTATCATTCCTTCTTCCTAAAAAACCTGTTTTGAAAAGTATAATGAAATCTATCTCACTGGGGGGAATATGAATATCTCCTGACATTTCTTCTACAACATAAAAAAAAAAAAAAAAAAAAAAAAAAAAAAAAAAAAAAGTTAGGGAAGTTTGGCTTGGTTGGGCCTGGGTAGAGGTAATACAGTAAGACAGAGTTTTTGGTGATCTTTTTGACAGTCATGCCTTTAAAAATCCGTATTAACAACCAACCAAACAAAGACAAACAATCCCATCCCACAAAAAAGCAGGTCAGCAGATCGAACCGGAGGAAGTGTGGGAAGCCTTGTCCCTCCCATGGACAGATTGGCGGCTGTGTGCTCCTCCCCCTTGTGCAGCCTGGCCTGAAAGGAGGGATTTGCCAGCGGTGCTGGGCATAAACATGGATGGGAAAGGCCCCGTGCAATTCCTTTGCCTTTTCCACATTTCTCCTTTCCCTGCGGTCTTTTGTTTCTCTTTATTTCATTAGTTTCTTACTTCTATCCACTCTCCTTCCCCCTTCAGTCTTTTTATAGGAAAAGAAAACATCTAAAAGCTTACTCTGATGAGCTAAAAGCATTAAAAGTCTTTGCTAGCTCATGGGTCCTGAATCAAGAAACAAACAGAACCAAATTTTCTGAGGAAAAATACTTTTTTAAAAATATATATATATATATTTTTTTATTGATATTTTACAGAGAGGAAGGGAGAGGGATAGAAAGCTAGAAACATCGATGAGAGAGAAACATCTACCAGCTGCCTCTTGCACACCCCTTACCTGGGATGTGCCCGCAACCAAAGTACATGCCCTTGACTGGAATCAAACCTGGGATTCTGCAGACCGATGCTCTACCACTGAGCCAAACCGCGGTTTCGGCAGAGAAAAAATACTTTATCCTTCATCTGCCCACAAACAAGGCTGAATGAATAAACCAAGTGAATTCAAATGTACCTTTTATTCAATTAGCAAAATATATTTTGTATATTCTAGTTTCTAAGCTTAAGATCTAAGAATCCAAACTTTAATAAAACACAGATTTTACCTACCCTTTGGAAGTTATCCGTCTTAATTTACTAATCACAATGTACTAGCTGTGATTAAATTTCTTTATTTGAGGTATAATGTTAATAATACTATACGAGCTTTAAGCAAGACTTTAAACCTGGGTTGCATGTAGCCATGTTGTAGATATATTACTAGATGATGGAACATTTCCAGGTATTTATTGTTGTAAGTTTTATTATCTATATAAGCCAAGTAGAAACCTGAAATGCAGAAAAAGCAACCTCAAAGGCAAGATTTAATTTTGAGCTAAAAAAGGAAAAGAAGAAAAAGTTGTTTCACCTACCTCTTGTCCACATCTGACCTTTCACTGAAATCGCATCTCTTCTATAAGCCCATCTTTTAAAATCTCAGTCCAAACTGGACCTCTTCCTTTTATAATCTGCAGAATTAACATGTTAATATGCTCCACCAATATTTTAATCCAGGGGTTGTTATTCATGGTGCACTTCAGAATCACCTGTGGAGTTTACAAAATGCAAAGCGTCAGGCTCCCACATCACGAATTTATTCAGTCAAGGCAGGAACAGTCTAGCATCTGTATTTTTAAAACACAACACACATAACACACTCCCAGTTAAGAACAACTGTTCAATTTACACTAGACAATTTGGATCTTATAATGACACAATTTATTTGCGTGTTTATCTGATCGTATCCCCAAGTGAACTGTAATTGTCTTTTAGGTAAGGCACAAATGTATTTCCTTGGTTCTCTGCAACACATAAAACTTATTCTGTACTAGTAAGAATTTTCACACTTTTTGTTTGAAAAAAATAAAAAAGAATTTTCTTTCAATGACATCTGTATAATATTATCATATCTGTTTTTCTATTCATATTCTTTAAATAGTTGTAGAACAAATTTGATCATGAACAAACATGATGTATTCATGTTTATTTAATACTGTTTTTCAGAAAGATTCCTCCCAATTCCTAGAGAGTTTCAGAGAAGAATGCTCTTTCTAGCACAGTGCAGTGAAACTTACCTTGATTCAAATCCAAATTCTCTTCTCATTTGTCCTACAGTGAGGAGAAAAACAAAAGATAAAAGTTTTAAAGCACATGCCATTAGTAAATTCAATGCCTTGCAGGATAGTTAATATAATATGAGGTGTTAGGGAAGTCTCTTTGCCTCTGAGAACTTCCTCAGCATCAGCTTTCTTGCTGACATCCTGATAATCAGTTATTCCAGAGATGTCTCATCTAGTCATAGAACGTCAGGTGGACAGGTGGAGAGGCTTGCTGAAATAACTAATCCCAGTCTTTATTTTTAACTGCTGAACCAATTTAGCTAATAGCTAAAGCAATTTATACATTTTTTTTAAAAAGCTTTATTATTTATTATTGGTCCACTGCATGGGAGAGGGCTTCAGGGTGCTTAAAGAATGGCTAGTAGTTTTGGGAAGAGGCCCAGGTAAAAGCCAGACACCAAGGGAATGCAGCGGGACCCACAAAGGCCTGTGGGCTCCATAGGCTCCTCGTGGAGCTTGAAGGTGAGCCTTTTGAATAGATACTCGCCCAGCCCAGGCTGGGGGCGGGCCGGCCTGCGGGGTGAGCCAGGTGTGGCCCATCTTCTTGGTGAGTATCACCTGCTCCCCCAGGAAGTGGTTCTCCCGGAAGTCAGAGCTGAGGGCCTGTGGGTGGAGCCCAGGGCTTGTATCTTCAAAAGGGCCTGGCTCAGGCTCCTCACCAGGGTCAGGGCAGCTGCTATGATGTCCTGAGTTTTGCCCACTCATCTTGGGAGGGCTTCAGCATGTCCTGGAGGAGGAGAATGCGGCCACCGCGCTGCTGGTTTTGCAACTTTAAGAGACTCAGTGCCCTGGGCTTCTTCTCTGCCCACGCCCTCGGGAGCCACATCTTCCTGGTGGAAACTGACGCCCGGAGAGAGGTAGGTGTGGGGCCCGCAGAGGCTGTTGACCCGGCGGTTGACCGCAGCCTCCACCTCGGTGGGGTAATTCTGACGAATTTGAGAGCTCATGGTTGTTACTTAATAAGGAGTTAAGGCAGAAAAAAACAGTAATGGTGTGTTGGCTGGTCTCGGAGGTGCTTCTGAAGATGGTGATCGGATAAGGCGCAGGAGAGTGACCAGAGGCTGGAAGAAGGGGGGGTCCCTGTTCTGTGCCATCTGCACACTGTGTTGAAGTCAGAGACAGAACTGGGACCTCAGGGCGCTCCAATTTATACACTTTTGTGGGGTTCAAATGCCTTGTAGAGCTGTTTTAAAGGTCAGTGAGAGAATACAGGGAACCCCAAATACAGTGCCTGGCATAAACTAGTCACTTAAATCATTGTTATTATCATTAAAGCAATAGTAGTGAAAGTAGTAAAAATGTACGTTGACTTCTAGTTTAGTTAGGTGCTCTTTGCTTGCCTCTTAAAATGCACAGTAGTTATTAAAATATAGCTATAATAAGTAGGAGGAATGACAAAGTCAGTGTTGTGTTGGTCGGTGTGGTTCAGTTGGTTGGCGTGAAATCCCATACACCCAGAGTTTGCAGGTTCATTTCTGGATCAGGGCGCTTGCCTAGGTCTCAGGTTTGATCTCTGACCATGCATGGAAAAGGCAACTGATCAGTGTTTCTCACAAGGGTGTTTCTCTCTCTCCCTGTTCCTCCCTCCCTCTCCCTTTTCCCCTTTCTGGTATCAATAAACATGTCCTCAGGCGAGGATTCAAAAAGTAAAGAACAACAATACCCAGTTACTGTTGACAAGGAAACAGGAAGGCAGTATATCATCCTCAGGCATATGTTGTTATGGAGTCAGACCTTCATTGGATTCAGATTTTCTCACTGTGAGAGTAGCACAGAGCTCTCCATCTCTTTGTTTCTTTAACTGTAAAATGGGGAGAATAAAATACCTCTCTAATTGGGTTATTGTGAAGAAGTTATTATACATGAAAGCATTTCAAAGTCTGACGAAGAGCAAGCTTCCCATAAAGGTTATTTTATTATTATTAACACTTCATTATTATTTATAGATATGGTTACCATAATTTGTCATGCATACTGGGGACACATCTGAGAGTGAATGGTAGTGCTATAAATACCTGTGCTGGGACAGCAGGCATAATAAACCAGAATGCATGGTCACCTTATCTGCAATATATTTTCTAGCTGAAAGCAAGTTCCCCAGGGAGTATTATATTGTGCACGGGAATTTATATGGAACTTTTTGGAAAGATGTTACATATGGGTCAGATTCAACACGGGCAGAAAAGCATGGCACGCCTCCATCAAAACTTCTCTGGGGCCCTAACCGGTTTGGCTCAGTGGATAAGAGTGTTGGCCTGCGGACTGAAGGGTCCCAGGTTCTATTCTGGTCAAGGGCATGTACCTTGGTTTCAGGCACATCCCCAGTAGGGGGTGTGCAGGAGGCAGCTGATCCATGTTTCTCATCAATAGCCATTAAGCAGTATGACTATTTGATATAGTCATACTGCTTAATAGAGAGTTTCTAACTCTCTATCCCTCTCCCTTTCTCTCTGTAAAATTAATAAAATATATTTAAAAACAAACAATCAAACAACAACAACAAAACTCCTCTGGGATAAAATAGACGGAGGCCTGGTGTCTCTTTGATGTTCATATCTCAGCTGACGTCTCTCCCAAATTTTCTCTGATAAGGTCCTGGGAAATGAGCTTCCATTCAACATTTTTAAATTTTTATATTTTCAAGAGAAGCTTTCTGATATATCTCACACAGTTCCCTCCCTGCCTCATTAAACAAACACATACATTGTAATGTATTCTCTCTGAGTAAGTCCTTTGAAAATAAAAATGCGAATAAAGAAGAAAACAGAAACTTCTCTTCTGAACTACCTCTACCCTTGACCACTCAGCCAGCCATACATTTATCGCTCCTTTTGTTTTAGAACAAATTAGAATTTTAGAAGGGAACAAATAATCACAGTCCTAGGCTGGCCCATTCTGCTCCATTCCACCCCATTTCATTCTACAAACAGTTATTGGAAGGCCACTATTCATCAGCTGAAACTGAACTTTCCCTCTAATACACGGAGGTGATATTAGGAAGGACAATGACAATAACTCTTCAGACCAGGCCTCCAGAAAGATCCGTTCAGGTATGGCGGGTGACATTTACTCCCCTCAGGAACACCGTGCCTCCCGCCTATCAGAAATCATGTGAATATTTATCACATTCTCTCAACTGCACATATATTTTCTTATTCATGGATTTTAGTTTCAGCTTTTACTCTGTAATACAGAAATGCATAGCCTTAAGTTCTGGTGCTATAAGGCATACGAAACCACGTGCATTTGAGAGTCAATGCATTACTGCTGCGCTGCTACAGCTTGGAATTAAACGGAAAGCCTCTCACGTTTGACGTTAATTTCATGTCCTATTTGGTTTCCATCAGGTGCAAAGAGCTGCTTAACCCATTTAAGCATTTCTTTTCAGGCCCCTAATGAAGTGTTCTGCTCGTGTCTTGTAAGTCAAGTGCATACATGACATCACAAATGGTTTATATTCTACGAGGGGACTCACCCCCATGGTTAAAATCTTGGACCCTCCAAACAGTCAGTGTCCAATTTATTCCAGCCTTTCGTTTTTCTATCGCACATCTTCACCTATGGTCCCAGATGAGCAGAACAACTGTAAAGCATTATGCAATTACACATATAGGCATCTATAAGGCATTCCCATAAGGGACATCAATTCGGCTCATGGCAAATTTAACCACAGGAGCAGCTGTCAAACATACTCAAAACAAAATAAATTATCCATCCAACCTCTTGTACTTAAGTGCTTTTTATATTCTGTGTTTTAGAAAAAACAGTTTAGCTTTAAGCAGCATTCAAGCTAGGATCGGGCTCTCCTGAGGAAGTTTTTTATGAGATTGAATGAAGATAATGACAACCATTAGTCATCGCATTAGCATGAGGCATGAGGCACACTACAATATTTATAAGCAGCTAAGCCATGACAGTAAAATTATGACATCCTATAACGCAGGCTGGCTTTTGACAGCAGCTGACTGCTATTTTGTAAAGTGGAACTGGTCTACGTCTGGTAGTAGTATATTTAATGGCATGCTCATCATAAGACTTAATTGTTTTCCACCACAGGGTACGGAACTTTATGTCCTCTATCAACCAAAAACAAATAGTCATACTGCTTAATGGCTATTCAATTAATGTTTATGTGCTACTTTTACACCCTGAATTATTTGATGAATAAACTCTGAGAAGCTTTTTGAGAACTAAGTTTCACGAAACTTCTACTCTCATTAAAAATCCCCAGGTTTTTACAATATCTCAAACTATCAGCTAGGCCCTAGGGAATACAGACCAGACATTGATATTTAAAAATCTTCTACACTCCCACAAGAATGACAGAAAAATCAAACGTTGGAAGGAAATGATCGATGTAGGTTGAGCCTTGCCGCATTCAAATTGAAGATCAAAACGGGGTTAAAATAGAAATAACCTGGTCAGACTAAGTCGAAAGGTGAGGCTTGATTTATTATACTAGAAATGCTCAGCTTTTGTTCCAATTGCTTTTTTGGCTTGTAACTCTACACCTATTGATATTTCTACTTTCCTTATATAAGATCTAGCACAGTAGTAGGTGACTGTATAAATTCAACACCTTCCTTTGGTAGAAGTTTTGTAGAATTACTGAAAATATATTTTTGCTGGAAGACTGCCATTTTTTTAATTTATGAAAGAAAAAAATGATTTCTGTTTTTTATAGTTATTTGAATATGCAGAAATATATTTATTTGCTCTTTTTCATTCTAATATAAGAGATCTGATGTCTCCAACAAGTGGGCAATTAATAGTATCCCTTATTGTTCCATGTTAGTTGGCACCATTGGACAAAGAAAAAAGGCAGGAAGGGAGGAAGGACGAGAGGAAAGGAAAGGAAAAGAAAGGAAGTGGAAGGAAAGGAAGGGGAAGGGAAAAGAGAAAGGGAAGGGAAAGGTAAAAGGAGAGAAAGACCACAAGAACCGAGGGAATGAGAGATAGTATTCATTTCATTTTAAAAATTAAGGCTACTTTCACACCATGCATGGTATTTATAAGTGCTGATGTATATATTTTAGTGGAACTGTGGCTGTCCTCTTCTCCTTGTCCTATGGTTTAACATATCAACTTGACATTCATAAAAGGGGACAAATGAGATAGCAAGCTTAAGAAATGCCAAACATTCTTGACAACTTTCCACTAAGAGTACAACTAAGAAATGACACACTTATCACCTAGTTGGTTCAAATTTAAAGCTAACTGTTTTTGAATGTAAGCCAATAAACTTTTCATATTTTAGTTTATTTAGTATTTCTTTTAAAAAATATTTTATTTTATTGTTGACAGTACTCTCTTTTCTCTTTATCTCGTATTCCTTAAACACAATTTCACTGAAATGTATGTAGTTGGACTGATTTGAATTTGATTAGTTTAGCATTTGTATTAGTTTTATTACTTGTATTAAATAGAGGTGGCTCTATGGTTTATAACACATTAAGAAACATTTTAGCAGAGCAATTGACTTTTATTATAATTTTAAGTGCATTGTTGCTTGACATTAACACCAAATTCATTGCACCTTAACTGGATTTTTTTTTCTAATTCTACATATTGTTAAATACTAATTAATGTTCTATTTAATGTCTAGTCTAGTTTTGAAGCTACTGAGCAATTAATATGTGACATATAATTTTGAATATGTTTGATGGGCATTTGGTAGATGACCTGATTAGGAATGAAATAATAAATCCTTAATTTTAATTCCAACTAGAAACCTATATAGTATGTTTCTACATTTATTTTATAGCTGAATTTCATATGTCAAAAATTAGAATAGTGGAAAATATTTTAGGATATTAAATATGGGGAATAGGCCTTAGGTGTTATTATGTTAATACCAGAGACCTGATGTATGAAATTCATGCAAGAGTAGACCTTCCCCCACTGCTGGCACCAATTTCCCTCTGGCACCCAGGCTTTCCTCTGGCACCTGGGACCCAGGCTTCCCTTGCAGCCCTGGCTTTGTTTGGAAGGTCATCTGGAAGGATGTCCAGTCTAATTAGCATATTATGCTTTTATTATGTATAGACTAGGGGCCCAGTATATGAATTCATGCACCTTGAAAGGAACTGTGAGCCAAGAGACTGCTGTGGGCAAAGGGGTGGGTCTTGGCCCACCCTCCACAGTCCTTGGTCCCCTGTATGCTGGCAGCCCCACTCCTCTTGTCGCTGCTCCTATGCACTGGTGGTGCCAGCCTCACTCATACCCATCAACAGCATGGAGCAATAGGGGCCAGCTCCAACAGCAGGTGCAAGCAGAGTTGGTGCCATCAGTGGGTGTCGGTGATGGCTGCTGCCCTGATCACCCCTCAGGAGCAGGGGGAGGTAAAGAGGCCCTCAGGGGTGATCAGAGTTGGCAGCTGTTTGCACCTGCTGATGGTGCTGAGCAATCAGGACCAGCTCTGGGCACTAGCAGTGGGTGCATGTAGTGGCTCCATGCCAGCAGCAGATGCAAGTGATGCCATTGCCAGCAGCAGGAGTGAGCAGTGGCTGCTGCCCTGATCTCCCCTCAGGAGCACAGGGAGGTGGAGAAGCCCTTAGGTGTTATCAGGGCCAGCAACTGTTGCTTGCACCTACTGATGGCACCAAGCGATCAGGGCTGGTGCTGCCGTGTTCTGCATGTCCCCCTTGGGGGTCAGCACACATCATAGAGACTGTTTTTTTGGTTGTTCAGTTCTGCCTTTTGTCTGTTTGCATATAAGGGTTTTATATATATAGATAAGACATACATCACTAATGTTAAATGTGGTCAGAACTATTGTATGATTCTTAAGTTCCTTTATGTCATATATTTTTTCTAGTAACTCCATTATAAAAGTCTATTTTAAAAGATGAAAAAAGATGAAAGGAATTACATCAATTATAAATAATGCTTATCATGAGAGTTAGCTAATTTTGGCAAATGTCCTATTTTAGATGATTAGTTCAATAGATAATACTTGTTTCTGAACATCACCATTTTAAAGTGAGAAAAACATAAACTTTCAAAACTGCCTAATCAATAGAATTAAAGGCTGGGTAAATATGTGATATGGAAAATATAAAATTTATACTAATTCTATTCAAGTATGAAATAATAATCTTATTCATTTGCTTAAGTTCTGGTAAGATTTGAATCTTTTGAAGGGATAAATATGCATAGCATTAAATATATTATGAAACAGATATTCTATACAATGTAATCAAGATCTTATTTTGTTTGCATATTTTAATCATAAAGATCATTAATACCTTATTTTGTGCTCCAATAATTTGATTTTTAAATGTAATTCCATCATTATATATAGTCATTGACAATTTAATGGACTGTACCTTGTTCTGAAGTTTCTGTTCCCAAATTCTATTTTAGCTATTTGCACATTATAAATGATTAATAATAAATGAAAACCTACTATACTTAGAAAGCAATAGTCTGATAAGTTAAATGATTATATTTTTATATTGTCTATGGTCTTATTAAGAGTAAATATTCTAGCCCAAACCGGTTTGGCTCAGTGGTAGAGCGCTGGTCTGCGGACTGGAAGGTCCCAGGTTCAATTCCGGTCGGGGGCATGTACATTGGTTGCGGGCACATCTCCGGGAGGGGGTGTGCAAGAGGCAGCTGGTCGATGTTTCTCTCTCATCGACGTTTCTAGCTCTCTATTTCTCTCCCTTCCTCTCTGTAAAAAATCAATAAAATATATTTAAAAAAAAAAGAGTAAATATTCTAGTCTATATACAGATTATTTGCCAGCTACAACTTGGTCTGTAAAATTGAATACAGCTGCAATATATTAATGTTAATCAGGGTTACTTTAAGAAATAAGGTATACTTCTACTTCAGTAATAATGAAGTCTAATTAGAAAAGAATAAAACCAGGTATTTATAATATTTTGATATTACTAAAAACCTATTTTTAGAAGAGAAGAAAATAATGCCCAATTTAATATTTAGCAAATATCATTACCAAATAATACATCATTAGAAATAAATGCATGCTCTAGAAACAACTTGCAGCATATACAAAAATCTTACTCTCTTTTTCAGGGGGATTAACATGGTAGATATAATTAAAGTCATCTCTCATTTCTTCTGCATTTCTGACCCTTCTCTACATTGGGAGAGGGAGGCAGCAAGAATGATCACATCACCAAATATTGGGTCGGCAACTAAGTAATTGCGGGTTTCACACATATGGCTTCAGTTGAATTTTTAGGTTTGCAGACGTAGTACAAATGTAAAACACATTTTGTTATTTGATAGTTGGCTATTCAGCTGTTAATCAGTAAAAAAAGTTTTTTGATCTGTTTTGTAGTTTTCGTTTGGCGTTCGTTGAAAAATGGAAAATCAAAAGGAACATTTTCGTCATATTTTGCTTTTTTATTTCCGCAAAGGGAAAAACGCATCGCAAGCTCATAAAAAGTTATGTGCTGTTTATGGTGACAAAGCCTTAAAAGAACGGCAGTGTCAAAATTGGTTTGCCAAATTTCGTTCTGGTGATTTTTCACTCAAAGATGAAAAACGCTCTGGTTGTCCAGTTGAAGTTGATGACGCCCTAATCAAAGCAATAATCAATTCGGACTGTCACAGTACAACACGTGAGATTGCAGAGAAGCTTCATGTATCACATACATGCATTGAAAATCACTTAAAACAACTTGGCTATGTTCAAAAACTCGATACATGGGTTCCTCACGAACTGAAAGAATCACAGTTAACGCAACGCATTAGCAGCTGCGATTTGCTAAAGAAACGTAATGAAAATGATCCATTTTTAAAACAACTGATAACTGGCGATGAAAAATGGGTTGTTTACAACAATATCAAGTGGAAAAGATCGTGGAGCAGGCCAGGTGAACCAACTCAAACAACATCAAAAGCTGATATTCATCAAAAGAAGGTTTTGTTATCAGTTTGGTGGGATTACAAAGGAATTGTCTACTTTGAACTCTTACCACCCAACCGAACGATCAATTCTGATGTCTACATTGAACAACTAACGAAATTAAACAATGCAGTTGAAGAAAAGCGGCCCGGATTGACAAATCGAAAAGGTGTTGTATTCCATCATGACAATGCAAGGCCACACACATCTTTGGTCACTCGGCAAAAATTAATGGAGCTTGGTTGGGATGTTTTGCCACATCCACCATATAGTCCTGACCTTGCACCATCTGATTACTTTTTGTTTCGATCTTTACAAAACTCCTTGAATGGTAAAAATTTCAATAATGATGATGATGTCAAATCGTACCTGATTCAGTTTTTTGCTAATAAAAACCAGAAGTTTTTTGAACGTGGGATTATGATGCTGCCTGAAAGATGGCAAAAGGTCATTGATCAAAATGGGCAATACATTACAGAATAAAGTTATTTAGTTCCATGAAAAAATTGTCTTTGATTTTCTTTAAAAAATCCGCACTTACTTACCTGCCGACCCAATATTTGTATCTGTTATTCTATTTGAAACTTAGGTCGTATGTCTTATTTATATAATGAGCCCTAATGTTTTAATTAGTTACCTATGTTTAATTTTAAAAAGGACACTTTCTGATCTCAGAAGTTAACCAGAAACCTGTGTGGTTCTGAATACATCAGAACCTAAAATGTAGAGCAAGTTCAGCTATCTGACAGACCACAGGAGTAAGAATTCAGGACATCATGTCAAATTCAGGAATGAGGTGTGACCTGGAAACTAAGTAAGCCTAAGACTCTAATATGCTGCTTTTATGTTAGAGTAGCTAGTATATTTTTTGCATGGTGTAATGCAGCAGATTAATTGTAAATCTGTATTGAAATGCCATGTATTACTTCAATGGTGAGTTTGTGACATGTAGGTATTTCTGG